GACCAATAGTGCGATTTTAAGCCCTAAAAACGCGATTTTGGTTACAGCAGTGTGTCCCATTCATTCATTTGCAGGGGGGGTTCAAATAAAATAGTTGCCACGATTATTGCACTAAACAATTTGCCATTATTTTACTTCTTTCTTTTTTCGCACAGCATTTGTCACACGTCTAATATCAAACTATGTGTACAACATGGTATAAAGTGGTATGCATGTAAAAGCTTACTAAGTCATAGTCTCACATAGTGCAAATTACGGCAATCCCTAAGGTAAGGTCAAATTATATAAACATCCCTCATGTTCTGATAATTACAATTACCCCTCAACTATGCATTTTCGTACCAAAAACCCCCTCCCTCAGTAGATAAATTTAACACAGTAAACATGAATTTGTAAAAAAAATACATAATTGAGGAGATGACTGTAACTACCCAAACATGAAGGATTTTTTTCGCATTTGACGTTACATTAAGGGTGGCCGTAATTTACCCTTATTGTTATTATTTTTATTTTTGGTGTTTTGGTATTTTGTTGACTTTTAGACATTATTATAAGCATCTAGAATTTAAAACCACTAAGCAAATTATAGTTCATGTAATAACCTTAAAAAAATAAAAAAAAAAATCAACGCTTACAGCCAAAAAGTTTACATTTTCACAAAGAATTATACATTAAAAAATAAAATAAAAAATAGGACCTAGTTTTTTGATTTGTTTCGAGGGGGAAATGGCAACAAACATGCTTGAAAACAATTTATATATCCCCAGAGATGAAAAAAATGAGCAGATATTCTAACTGCAGTATAAACTAAGGTAATATTTGACCATCTCTCTTATTGCATATGTACATAGTGGTTCAAAATTTTGAGAGAATCCTCATTCCTCAGTTTAATAAGAGCCGATCGTTCTATTTTCCTTATCCACTCTTTGCTTACACGAAAAAGCCTACCGATTTCCTCAAGCGATTTGCACTGACAGTTTCCTAGTCCGAATCTTAGGATTATTACCTGTTTCTCCCTTGGCTCTAAGCCATTTAGAAGTGTCGAAACATCGTTTAGCATGTGCTGCCTTATCACAGCTTCTTCTGGACTCGGCATTGATGTATCCGATAAAATTTCCTGGAAAAAATATCCGAACAAACAAAACTACATTAATAAGTCCAAAAATCACGTAAAAAATTTGCTTGACCGGATTTGAGAATGTACTCACTCGCCTACGAGCAAAGCTTGATAGATATCGGATTCTAATAACTGTGACATGCTTTTAATCTTACCATATATTTTGTGGTCATGTACTCGCCTATTTTCTGATCAATTGATCCCACAACTCTTAGGCATTTGCTAGCTGACATAACTTTAGCTACGGATAGACCGGTAAACTTGGCAATTTCATAGTCGTCTGGATATTTCCCGTTGCTTGTGGTAAGGGCCTTTCGTGCCTTGTGTACTTGATTTATCACTTTGCTTAAAGTGCACTGCATCCGAAGGAAAAGAGAAATTATGGATGTTGAAGAATTCGCTAGTATTATTATTATTATTTTTTTTTTCATAGTTTACGTACACAATTTGAATTAAAAAAAGAAATAGTCCATAATGAAAAAAGAAGCGTGCGTACAGGAATTCGGACTCCTCTAGCATGTTTTGCAACCAATGTGGACATTGACTTCCTAATCCAGTATTGTACGTAGGTTGAGAATTTGTATCCTCTTGATTGGTCAAATCTTTCTGCACCTTGCAAGACGCCTATATTTCCTGCCTGTTGACCATCGAGACCACAAAGTCAAACTTTGGATTGGAAAAAACGTAAATCATTTGCATGTGCAAACATTTCTTGAAAAACATTTGCCGTTGATATTCTTAGCTTTGTCATTGGTAGAGCTTAATAATTTGAGTTTCACAAATAGTTAGTTATAAGCACATAATGTAGTGAGGCCTGGCCGAGAAATTTTGAGGTTAAGAAACTAGGTTAATTCATTTCCAATCTATTGGGTAAAACGCAACAAAAAGGCAGTGTAGGGCTTGGAGGGGCCATGGCCCCCCTAATATTTCTCAAAATCATTAACATTTATTAATTTTCCAGTAGTGTGTTATTAGGGGGGCCGTGGCCCCCCTCTCCAACATCCACCCCTTTCAATTATACTAAATCTGCTCAGAAGCATGTCGATACTATCGTGAAAACATATTATGATAAGACGGCAAATAGTTCAAACGGAAAAGAAATATGAACACAAAGAAATTAAAAAAGAAACCTGGATCAGATCTTCAAAGGCTACTCCGAGTCCCGAATAGTTTCTTGCAATAAACAAAACCAAGGAATGTGTGCTTCTTAGAAGCTCATCCCTGCAATGCCAACCGTAATGCAAATGCTGCTGCAACTCCTTCTTTTTAATTCCAGCAGCTTCAGCCCAGTTACTCAAGCTAGCTATTTGACCCGTCTCTTGTTCCAGTTTCGTCCTAATTTTCTCCAATTCAGCAACCCTCTGTCATACAAATAATATTAACACAATACACACATTTTTTTTTCTTCGTAATAAATAAGCACAAACAGAAACTTAAACAAACAACCTTAACTCCACTCGACATATCAGCCTCATTTCTAGCTGTCTTCTGTCTTTTATTTCTAGATCTCGGGGTTCTTCCAGCAATGGCAAATTTAAGTTGTTGAAGATCCTTCGAAATGGTTTTGGAAGGCGATTCTTGAATAGTGGGACTTTCATTATCCGAAGTTCTTTTTCTCCTCAATTTTCTGAGTTCTTTCTTTCCAGAATGAACAAACACCTTGCCTAGATGATTATCCACCGAATCATTCACCCTAGCACACTCTTCGACAATCTCAGTGGGCCCGTCAGACAAATCAAAAGAAGTGTAGGATTTGATGGTCCTGGATAGACACGAATGGAACAATCTTAGAGCTCCAAGTCTTTCTAATTGCTCTAGAATATCTCCTTCCAACCTTACCGCATTAGAATCAGCAAACATGTCTTCTAATACATCAAGATTTTTCATCAATAATCTCAACTTTGATGCTTGGGTTGCTTGTACACTAGTAAGGTTTTCCAACTTATCCTCGTTTTTAGGTATTTGGATGTCGCTGTCAAGTAAACTGTATAAACTATCACTGGACCCCTTTCCAAGCGCCACCTGAATATATTTCGAGACATAAACGTGTTTTAACCTCATTGACGAGTGGCATAAAAAGGTTAAACATGGAAACAAAAGCTACCTTTAATTGTTTAGCTCCTCCCAAGTAATAATTCTCCAAAAGCTGATGGGAAGATGGATAGACATGTATCCCTCTGGAAGTATCGTTAAGTGTTTCAGTGTCTCCATATATAACTGATGCAGCAGATGATCTCGCCAAGAAGTAGGAACTATCTCTGCCTCTACCTGTATAGTTTGGATACATAATTATCAGATTAAATCCTTTTCTTTGGAGATATCCTTTTGTGTTATTGGTATGTGTTGGAGAGTGGAACAACCCTCGTTGAGAAAAACAGGTCTTACAGGCCAAGATTTAAGAAAGATAAGACAGGAAACACTAATTATCGGACCGATAGATATTGGTTAAAATAATTCACACTTGATCATCCCAATAATTTTAGTGCTAAATAGGTTTGATCATTTCAATTAATAGCTGATCAATTAAATATCATCCATTTCCCGGAGTGACAGCTAGCAGCAGTTTAGCAAATCGAAAATCGGATATAATTAAGTTATCAGTTACTTCAAAAAACAATTCCTTAACCAAATTTCCATTGGCTGTTGGGATTACTAAACCAACTTAGAACATTCCTCGTATCTAGTCAAAACATTCTGTTCTGTATGAACTCTAGCGAATGATTTAACCTAATTATTTCAAATAAATCATCAAAATGCTAGAACAGGGTAAACCTTAAAATCGAAAATGCAAAAATTGGTCGGAACGATGAAACTATATTCATTTATCGCAAGTCGAATTTTCAGATGAAATACCTAATTTTATTTATGGAGAAAAAAAGTAGAGATCGGGAAAAACAAACAAACAAACAAAGAGAAAAATGGAAGAATAGAGATGAAACTCACAAGAAGAAGACGTAGGCCAGGAGGAAGTACTTGTGGAGAGAGGGGACTGGACTGAAAGACCACACCAGTTGAGGTTTAGCCTAAAACCCATTAACGATCGAAAATTGCTTCTGAGAGAGAGTGACCACCATCAATCAAACACTCGTTGCGAATTAAAATGGAAGAGTGTTTGTTGATGGAGAAGTGAGGCCCAGATTAATACGTCCCTCTTCTCACCTCTCAGCCACTGGTTCCCCATCTCAACCAGACAGATACATATTTCATGCATATATATATATATATATATATATATATCTATCTATCTATATCTATACCTACTATAAAAGTATGAATAATTGGTAACGGTTTCTTCCCTTTTTTGTGTGTCCAATATTACCCTTTGGCCAGTAACTTATTCGATGGATAATATGGTAAATATATATTACAATAACAATAACAAACTAAGAATATAAACGCAAATACTATGATATAATATTAAATAATAATATATATTTTAATTGTCCACTACCATTTTAATGATAATTATATTTTGCGTTAAAACAAGTAAATAGTTAATACATATTAATTTGGATAATTATTAGTGCAATGTTAATTGGACTATTTCCACAGTTACTATGAAGTAATATTAAATAATTATATTTATTTTACTTGCCCACTACACTTTTAATGATGATTATATTTTGCCGGTTACAATCAAGTAATTTGTTAATACATATGATTAATTAGAATAATTATTAATGCAATATTAATTTGACTATTAGGATTCTTGAATGGAAAAGGAGCATCCAATTCCACTGGAAGGTTAAATATATTAGAGATTAGAC